AACTTATCTTTGGCACTGCTTAGAATCAGAACATGTCCAAGGAAAGACACTGGGGTCTCTCCATTCAAGATGCTAATGGGGCGACCCTACTTGGCAAAAATAGGGAATCCAATTCCTGAATTCAAAGATTTGTTCTTGAGAAAATATTTGCAGGCCCTGTCCAGGTCTTTGCTTTCTCTCCATAAACAGGGACTATTGGTGCAACGACCACCTCTTGCTGGGAGCCAACATCCCTTTGAGACTGGAGATTGGCTTCTGATAAAGACTTGGAAAAGTGAGAAGCTGCAGCCCAGCTGGGAAGGCCCGTATCAGGTGCTGTTGACAACTGAATCTGCAGTTCGCACTCGGGAAGGAGGCTGGACGCATTACAGCAGAATCAAAAGGGCACCGGAACCTGAGAAACCTTGGAAGGCCATTCCAGTGGACGGTCAGCCGTTGAAGTTAACTCTGAAGCAGTAACATGCAGCTGATTTGCCTAGTGACTATTTACTTACTCATGAGCAGGATAGGAGGAGAGACTGAAATAAAGACAAAAGCTAAGACTGAGGGACAATGTGATCAATGCATAAAAACAACAAAAACAGGGACACAAGTGACAAAGACTCTAATTTTCCATACTCAACTGAGTTGCAGGAAAAGAGACTCCGGGACTTGTATCTACAATGGGACATCTTACTCCATTTGTAAGGATGGAGGGAATGTCAAATGTTATGACCCGAAGGGTCCCACACATAGGTACACTATAAAGATTCAGGCCAGGAACAAGGTAATGGTGAACCATGACTTCTATAATCCCAAGGTGTCACAGTCAGTAACCTTTGATGCCTGCGAGGCAATGGATGAGGGAGATAATGGGTGTGGGTCTTTGAGTTGGAGGAGAGCATATGCAAGAAATGAAAAATACATGTGTGCTAGGAGAAGAGCCTCATGGGATGACTGCGGTTATGGCACCTTCTGTACTGGGCTGCTTTGGGAGAAATGTATTACTTTTCAGACAATGGGGCTAACGGTAAGACCAGATACTATCCCAAGATTAGACAGTGCAAAGAAGTTGTACATGAATAGGCTGAGGGTACCCGATGCCAATTGCCCTTGTCATAAGTGTAATCCCATTAATCTTACATTCCCGATCCCTGAAAATTGGCTGAAACCCCAATCCTGGAAAGGATATCAAGATGAATATGGGTTAGGGATAGACGGGACAGAGGCCAACCCATCTGTGAAACTCAAGATTCAGGTGATCAAACATAGTCTGAATCCTATCGAAAACTCTCTGTTTTACTCTTATTATCAGGAGTTTCAAAAACTACAAGATGTAGTCTTGCCCCCAAAAGCTCAAAATATGTTCCTGGCCCTAGCTGAGACTATTGCTAAAGAATTGACGGTCAAGAACTGTTTTGTGTGTGGTGGAACCAACATGTGAGAGCAGTGGCCATGGGAGGCTCAAGAGGTTAATTATACCTATGTAGCAGAGAGCCAGGCCAATTATACCTTTAAGCAAAAGGGAGAAGAAATATGGGCTATTACCACTAATCTAGTAGGAAATGTATGTTACCAGAGGAACCAAACCACAGATCGAACCATCAATGTGGGGTCTCTGTGGTGTCTAGGGGTATGGGAGAACCAGACTTGGTGGTCCGGGGGAAACATCTCTGAACCAGCAAGGTCCTTAGAAAGTGTAAGTAAAATGGATTTTCTGAAAACACCTGAGGAACAGAAACCCTGGACAACCCCAGATGGGTTGTATTGGATTTGCGGCAGGTATGCGTATAATATCCTCCCTGCAAAGTGGTTTGGGTCATGCGTTCTGGGAGCAATAAGACTGAGTTTCTTCTTATTACCTCTCAAGCAACGACAGGTATTAGGAGTGCCAGTGTACGAAGAAATAGGGAACATTAGGGTGAAACGAGGGACAAAGGACATCCATAAAGGGGTCTGGAAGGATGCTGAGTGGCCGCCAGAGAGAATAATTTATTATGGACCGGCCATGTGGGCGGAGGATGGGACTTATGGACATCGAACCCCGATTTACTTATTAAATCGCTTAATCTGCTTGCAAGCTGTAGTAGAAATAATCACAAATGAAACTATATTGGCTATGACACATTTAGCTAAAGAAAGTGCATGCTCGAGAACATATATAATGGAAAATCGCTTGGCTCTGGATTATTTGCTTGCTAAGGAGGGAGGAGTATGTGGGAAATTTAATTTAACAAACTGCTGCATCAAAATTGATGAGAGTGGAAAGGTGATCCAGGAGATAGCAGACCGAATGGTAAAAGTAGCCCTTGTACCGGTCCAGACTTGGGAAGGATTCAATATGGGGAACCTGTTTGGATCCTGGTTTCCTAAGCTCCCAGGGTTACAAGCCATAGTAGCACTCATTGGTATCATTGCAGCGGGATGTGTAATACTACCATGTGTTCTTCCTATATTCATCTGCACGATAACTAGCACTCTCTCCCTGATAGCCAAAAGGCAGGTTGCTGAACAAATGATGGTGTTAAGACAACAATATGACCCCTTGGGGCACCTGGAGGAATCTCCTGAAGAAGGATGGAAGACAGCAGACTTGTTATTAACTGAGTTTGAGTCAAGGATGGAACAAGAAAAGGGGGGATTGTGAGAAGTGTTAATTAAAGTATCCATTTTTATGACTCAAATCTCATGTTGAAAGGGATGTCTTTGAAGTAAGGAAGTGCAGTACCAGGCACCAATTAAAAATGTTGACCGATCTTAGAATGCCTTTGAAGTGCCAGGAACTATCGAACTCTCTTGGAATGTCTTTGAAATGCCAGATACCAATTAGGGAAGTGCCTGCTATGAGCTAGGTACCATAAGGTAATAAATTGTAACTTGTATCCTGAAAGGTAGATTGTAAACTAAGCCATTTGCATAATGGGGGGGGTAGTTTTAGGGTATAAGAGTAGAGCAAAAGCTATGTTTTGTGTTCCTCCCAGCTGCCAATACACATCTGCAGATGTGTATTCAATAAAGCTTTTTCCTTGGATCAACTTTGAATCCTGGTGGTCTTTTTGCGCTGCCACCTCACACGACGAACCCTAATAAATGCCTTCCAGCTCTCAGTGACTAGGGACACAACCAGGCAAATAAATCAGAATATCAATAATATGTTAGAAAAACTATAGCAAGCATGGTGAAGCAAGGGAATTGTCTTCAGAATGAGCAACGGAGGACTCCCAGGTATGACCTAGCGATGGCAGCAAGTAGCTTACAGCACGTTTTATCAACCTTGACAACTTTAAATTGTGTCGAATTCTGGGAGTTGAAGTCCATAAATCGTCAAGTTGCCAAGATTGATAAACACTGGCTTAAAAGCATCTGCCTCTTTGCTGCCACTGGTCTTTAGAATATCTGCAGTATAGCAACATTTTACCTTTTGAACGTGCAAGGTTTTAGTCGCCCTGCCTGTAGCAATCCGCTAATGACTTCTGGCGGATACGGTTTAAATCGCGTGCGGAAATTCTCAGCGAGGGTGCCATGTTTTAAACGGGTAGCTTCGAGATTCCTCAACTTTCACGTGGGTATCTCGAGTCCCTCTCTCGCCTCATCCTTACAGAAGTTCGGCGGGTTTCCTATTAAGTTCACAGTCACATGTAGCTTTCTCCATCTCTATTAATATGTCCTATCTAGAATTATCTATCTCTTCGCCGCCATTCGGATTTTGATAGCCCTCAAAATGTAAAAAATACATGAATTTAATATTTAATGTGAACCCTGGGTTTCATGTCACACGCATGCATACGAGGAAAAAAAAAAACTCCCCTTCCGATGCCATGTTTGGGTCGGGCATAAGAAGGCCAATCGATGTTCTCGACTCATCCCCACGACGCCCTTTGTTCCCCGCCCTCCACCTTTGAAAAGGGCAGTGTGTGGGCACTGGTCTCATGTCTTATGTGGGCTGTCAGAGGAAGCGGAGTCTGGGGGTGGCGGTTGTTTAGAAGAGGAGGTGTGGGGCAGCGGAAGTATCCTGGGAAGGGTTAAAGGTGAGAGGTCAGGATTCCGGCTGCTGAACCCCAAGGGGGCTGGGAGGGAGCGGATCTCTGGTGCTTAAGCGAGGAGGGGAAAAGAAATAAGAGGCAGGATAAGATAATATGCGTCACCCCACTTCCCCGCCACTTCCTTTTGGAGCCCTGTTCAGGGGGCTGAGGAGAGAAAGGAAAGATTTGTGCCGGGGGGCGTCCCTTCTTCCTCACAGTGCTGTCTGTCGGTATGTGCCCCACTCCCTTGCTTTTATTCCAGGGCTGTATTATTTACTTTGGTGCCCTTTTTGGCTCTGCCCCGTTGGAAAGGGGGACTTTCCTCCCTGCATAGCCTTCTCTGCACCCCACTTCCCCCACAATCGGTGCATGCTCTTTCCAGAGCAATCTTGGCCATCTGAACCCCACTTTCTGCCCTGCAAACAATCGTTGGTTGCTTGCCTCTTGCAAGCTCCTGCTCTGGCTGCTTCTCCATGAGAGAACCCAGAGGTCCAGCTTCTTTCACTTTTCCAGATGTGCTGTGGCTTCTCTTGGTTTTCATACAGGCTGTTCATCGTGGCTTAACTTTTTAAATTGTCCTGGTCAATGCCAGATGTTCTGAATTCAGGCCCTGGTTACACTGCTAAGCTAAATTCCCTCTCCAACGTAGACCATGTTCCTTGGCCTTCTGTCCATTCCTGGTTTCTCATAAAAGTGCACTGAGGTGAACCTGGGCTGTGACATTCAGCTGATTAATTGGTTAGGCAAATCGACAAAGTATTTTGCTTTTCAGCTTGGCAAAAACAACCATAGGTGGCAGAAGCTGTCTTTAAAAAAAGGGGGTTATTTGAATGCCTGTTGCAGTGCTGTATTTGTGTCACTTTGAAACAAGTGTTTCCTTCCTTCCTGTGAATATTTAATATTTTCATCAGCTCAGCTTTTTAACTATGGATGAGTTGTGTTCCACTGTGCAATGGTTTAACCTCAATGTCCTCATTTTATTTGCCTGCAGGATGAGATATGGCAGATAATAAGGAAAATTGGGTAGCCCTGGTGGCTGCAGCGGAACAGTACCAGTGTCAAACAGGCAATGAAATTGTTTTGCTAGCAGCCTTCCGGTCACCACCCCCTGGCAACTGCAGCTATGCGCAGCATGGGAGTGGGGCTCTAGCAGATGCCGTTCAACACTACCTTGAAGATATTGCAGAGGTTCATAAAACCACTGCTTTCACCTATGCTGCCCTCCCTCCCTCAAACCCTCATCCACCTCCCCAACAAGGACCCTATTCCCAAAGTTACCCTCCTACTCATGCTCCAGATGAACCTGCCTCACACAGGACACCTACCTTCCTGCCTCAGGATTCGGGAGGCCATGAAGATGATGATGGAGACAGAAATACATTGACTGAATTGGAACAACCCAGTGGGAAAGACCCTCCTAGTGACACTACTGGTATGTTTCTGTCCAACAAGTTTGCATTTATAGCTTGTTTTTCTATAAATCATTTCAAGTAGCCTGCAATAAATATATAACTGTCAAATATCAACCCAGTAGGCTGCTCACCCCAAAGCTTTATTTGAAAAGCCAGGGTTGGAGAACACTATTGAAATTACAGCATAGAGGTACAGACCTAAAAGCACTGCTTTTTTTAAAAAAGTTCTATAACAAAGGTCAGCCTTCCCAAGTCAGATGTTCTTCAGATGTGTCAGACTTTAACTCCCAGGACCTTCCAGCCAGCATCTGGCTATAAGGCCCAGGGGAGTTAAAATCCAACCACCAGATTCCTGAATGTAGAAGTCCAAAATAAAGTTAAGAGTGTAGTGAGCTATACAGGTGTTTTGCCCCATTTTATTACCTTTCTTGCCACAGTTAAGTGAATCACTGCAGTTAAGTTGATAACCCGGTTAAGTGACTTTGCTTGTCAGAAGGTTGCAGAAGGTGATCACGTGACCTTTGGACACCGCAATGGTCATAAATATGAACCAGTTGCCAAGCATCTGAATTTTGATCACACGACCATAAGCAAGGGGTGGGATGCTACCGTTCTGCCTGGTTCTAAAGAACCGGTATCTCTGAAAAGAGCAACAGACACCAAACCAGTTCTGTGTTTGCTACTACTTATCCCACCCAACTGCCTGGGCTCTTACCTGTCCTTTATTTCCTGCTTTTTCAACCTCAGCTGCTTTGTGTGGCACAGCTGAGGTTGAAAAAGCAAGAAAAGGGGCTTTTCAAATGCTGTGCACCTGTGCAGTGCTTTTCAGCTGTCCAGGTGGCACAGCTGATGTTTTTTTTTTAATATGCATGTTCAAAACGTAGTCACTGAACCAGTAGTAACACTGGTTGAATCCCACCCCTGACCATAAGGATGCTGCAAAGGTTGTAACTGTGAAAAACAGTCATAAGTCACATTTTTCAGTGCTGTTATAAACTGTTGTAAGTCAAGAACTACCTGTATTTTAACTGAATCTGTTAAGAAAAGCAACCTGATTCACACATTGTGCCAAACCTTGACTTGCTTAAACATAGTTTTAGAACAAACACTGTAGACTTGTATAAAAAGAAAAGCCACATTGAATTATGGCCTGGTGAGATGCTTGAAGGCACTAGCTTCGCATCACATTCTTTAGCAGGATAAACACTAGCTGTGCACTAGTAACACTTTTCCTTTCCTGTTGTTACAGTTGTGACAAAACTTGCCTCTGCTGAAGTGAAAAGGCACATTCCAGGGTATTAGGTTTGACAGAAGAGTGAGTAGCAGTTTGAGAATGAAATGAAGACACAGTAATGCACAATCCTGTGCATCCCTCTCTATCTCATTTTGGCCTTTATACAGTACTTTATTTTTCTGCTAAAAAGGACTTACAGATGAACAAGCAACAAGCAAAAAAAAAATTTACAGGTTAATTTTATTATAGCTAATAAGCCAATGGAAGGAAAGCAGAATAACAAATTGTTGGTGTGTCAGAGCCTGAAAGGAAAAAAATGAAATCACAGCATTTAAAGGTCCCCTGAAAAAGCAATTTCTTAATAGAAAATGAATGAGTGTTCCAGAATTGGGGTCTTCTGTCAAAAAGGCCCAAGTATTTATCTGCTGCAGCTCACAACCAAGTCTCAGCTGAAGATCTCATTGATAGGTTGATATATCTATATATATAAAAGCGAAAAAGCACTCATGAGTCATCACAAAATCTCCAGAACAGTAAAGCCTACAAACTTGAAATTTGGCAGGTATGTTCCTCTGGGCTTCTAGGTGCTCAGTAAGAAAGGATTTTTTGAAATGACCATCAGAGCATCAGTATTTCCTATATTATTAACACACACTGATGCTAAGGAGTTCTAGTCCCCCTCCCCACCTGAAAAGAAATCTCTTCCAAATGCAAAACACAAGCAGAGGAGTTTGTTTCAGTTTTACTTTCACAGCAGCAAACAGCTTTACTACAGAACAATTGAGTTAAGCCATGCCCAGGCTCCTTGCTGTTTCCTTCTTGCTCACAGAGCAAATACTGTTTCAGTTTCTAAACACCCCTCAACTCACACACACTGACAGGACGCTAGCCAGATGAATACCAATGGATGCTGGTAGGCAGAGGCATACTTCCCCCCCTTATTTTCCTCCCCAAAAACATGTCCTATCACATAGTTTCGTAGCAAAGCATGGGTACCCTGCTAGTAGTAGTATAAAATTTCAAATTGGTTTTGTGTTTTGAAAGATGCATTACGGCTATATTAAGTGTGAATTTACAGGTGAAACTTGAAAAATTACAATATGTGCAAAAGTTCATTTATTTCAGTAATGCAACGTAAAAGGTGAAACATATATGAGATAGAGCTTTTCATGAGCTATTCTAATTTTTTGGGTTTCACTTGTCACAATTCATATCAGATTATAGATGCAATAAATTACATTTAGATATCACTTTTTGGGTGCCAAGAAACATTTCATGTAGCTTAATTTGAGAATCCTCAGAATTCTTAAAGGTACTTTACTCATTGCAGAAAGATTGGAATAGAAGTCATTTATGAGCACATGGTTGAAAAAGGAGATGGAATACTTTCATAGCTTCTAGTCTTAGCTATTCCATCCAATGGCTTGGGTGTGTCTTTGTACCTTGCCCCCTGAACCTTTAGCCTCTCACTGTGTGTTTAATGCACACAATAGTCCCAAGTGAAGCCTGAAGTGTGCAGAAAGGTATTTTTATCTTCCAGGCTTAGAAGAATCCATTTGATACTAGCTGGGATTGCTGGGTTGTGTGAAGAGGTGTTTCGGCCTGCAAGTTGCAAAGTACATTGTCCCATGTCTACTAGGCTCCATTTTGAGTCCCTGAATTGTATCTTGTGGAGCACAAGTAATTTCCTGCAAGCTGCAACCAGGTTTCAGTCTTCCTCAGTTGGCCTGAATGCTGTTAGCAGTGCCAGCACTGTGTAAGTCCTCCAGATGTGCTAGCTAGGTGACAGTAAGGAGAGTTTATCATATACAAGTAAATCTGGAGGACATCAATTGTAGGACATTCTATACCAAATAGCTGTGTCTTCTGTGCTGACATATTCCTGCCTTCCCTCAGGAGTGACCTGAAATTATCTTTTGTAGTTTCATCTCTTGGCAAAACAAATATGAGTATAGTGAATGCTTGCCTGGAGATATGCAAGATTATTTAAAGAGGAGCTTTTCCTTGTTCTGTTGGTGTGGCCATGGTTTTATTTTATCCTTTCAGGCCAACATGTTTTCCTTCTATGATTTTTCTTGTAATGATTTATATTTTACATTTCTTCCCATAAAGCACTCAAAAGGACAAAACAGCTTAAAAAACATGCCATACCATGTGCACTAATCAAACAGGTGGCAAGAAAGTAGGGGTAGGCAGGCACAACACAGGTTATGTAGACAGTAAACACAGTCTCAGACATAAAGATCTCAAGTGCCTATATACAAATGCACAAAGTCTGGGGAACAAACAGGGTGAACTCGAACTACGAATACATGAAGGTAAATATGATACAGTTGGAATAACAGAAACTTGGTGGGATGAAACACATGGCTGGAACATACTGGTAGAAGGATACAAACTATTCATAAAAAAACCACCCCATAAAAGAGGAGGTGGAGTTGCACTGTATGTAAAGGACCACTATATTGCTACAGAAATGCATGAAACCAAAGATGAAAACCACCTAGAATGCATATGGGTCAATATAAAAGAAAAAAAGAATGACATGACCATAGGTGTATATTATAGACCACCCAATCAAGCAGAAAATATAGATGTCCTTTTTGCCAGCCAACTAACAAACATGCAGGAAACACACAATAGTAATGGGAGACTTCAATTATCCTGATATCTTCAAAATAGTTCTGTTTAGTGTTCCTAATTTTCTGTGCCAGTTCTTCTTTATCTATTAAATCCATTTTATGTTTAGCTATATCCAGTTTCAATTTAACGTCTTTTTTCTGTGGCATTTTCTGCAGTTCTTTTTCGAGTCTTTTATATTCATCCTCCAAGGCTTTGAAAACTTGCCTTTTCCTAATATTCTTTTTTCTTGTATAGTCTATTATCAAGCCTCTGGCATAAGCCTTCATTGTATCCCAAACATTCTGTATTGAGGTGTCTTCTTTTCTGTTTTCTTTAAAGAAAAAGGCCAATTCTTTCTCCATCCATTGTGTGAATTCTTTCTCCTTTAAAATAGTATTATTTAACGTCCATCTCAATCTTTTTTTTTGTCCTTTCCATTTAATTGTCAATGGGTTATGATCCGCCCAAGTGCTTGTTTCAATATTTAGTTCTTGAACGCTAGACATTAAGTCTATTGAAATCCAAATCATATCAAGTCTGGACCATGATAAATGTCTATTTGAGTAGAAAGTGTATTGCTTAAGTTTAGCATTTCTTTCTCTCCACATGTCTTTTAAAGTTAATTCCTCTGTCATTTTAAAAAAAGATTTAGGAAGAGTTTTTCTATTATACTTTGCTGTTGTTGCAATATAATCAAGTTTATTGTCCACGATTCCATTGAAGTCTCCCATCATAATTATATTAACATAGTCCAATCCAGCCATCTTAATATGTAATTTTTTATAAAATTCTTCCTGTTTATCATTCGGGGCATAGATTGCAGTCAAAAGTATCTTTCTATTATTGTCCATTATTTCCACCATTAACATTCTCCCATCTTCATCTGCATAAATCAGTTTTGCTGGGATAGCCTCTTTAATATATAAGACCACCCCTCTTTTCTTACATTGAGTCAAAGAGGTAAACAATTTCCCTAATTTTGGTTGTAATAACAATTGTTCATGTTGCTTTTTAATATGTACTTCTTGTAGACAAATTATATCAAATTTTAGTTTCCTTAATTTATGGAAAATCTTCCTTCTCTTGGCAGCTGAATTCAGTCCGTTTATATTCATTGTAATCAGTTTTTTCTCTTCCATGATTATATTTTGTATTTAGATTTAA